ATCGCGAGCATCTCCTTCCGCTGCACATTACTTCCGAGCATTATAGTTTATACTGTCTCCATCCGAGAGCGTCAGTCGAACAGAAGCAGAAACAAAGCGAAAACAAAGCGCGCGTGCAGACGAGACGTAATTAACCACCGAATTAATTATATTAACTAACCATAAGGATGCCATAATGGCGACCATACAAACGACGACAGGGACGACTTAACGATGCACGCCCCCCTGCGCGCACGCGACGCCGCTCACAGCCGAATATCAATCCACAAATGCTTCCGAAATCTTTTTTCTTTCTGCTTCCTCCCCTTCTATTCCTATTCCTATTCCTATTCTATTCCTCCGGGATGCCTAAGGCTGCCTGCCCTCCGCCATCGACAAGTTTGTATTTGATACAGGCGTAGGCTGCCACCAAATCCTAGGGGGCAGTGGCTGAATCCAGGATTTCCAGGAGTGGAGAAACAGGTGGGGGTCTCCCACAGAAAATTTGTTGAAACATTAGATCGCAGGAGATGGTATTTGAGGCGCACTTTTTGAGTACATGCAACAGCCTTCATTCTGACTACGACAATTCTCTTTTAGTAGAACAATTTATTTTTGTAATTTTGCTCCAAAATCTAGGGAGCAGCTGCCCCCCTTGCAGTGTGTACGTGTGCGGGTGCGTGCGAGTGTGTGCATGCGTGCTTGCGCGTGTATGCGTGTTCGTGTGCGTACATGCCTGCCTGCGCACGTGCGTGTCACTTACAGCAAACAGAGTATAGAGCCATGCACGCGCACAAAAAGCAAATAACTAGTCGCTGAAAAAGCGACGCGTATATATAAAACGTTTTGCCGACTATTTTCATGAAGCGAGTTGCCTTTCAGCTCGCTCGTACACGAACATTAAACAAAATTGTTCTATAGTATAATAATCAATACGTATATACCGGTATATGTCTACTTTAACCAGAGGTTAAAACCTACATCAAGTAAGTGCAGTACGTGTCTGTTCCATACATAGTAACACGACCATGTGTGTACACTTATATTCCATACCTATACACGTACAGTGTCAGGAGTAGAAATTAGTTTGAACATTTACAGGCCAGCCGGGCCGCGAATTTGCGATTCCCAAACCGTATAGCTTTGGAAGAAAAATTGAGCAACGTGATTGGCTAGAAAAATTTTAGGACACGCATTATTAGTCAACAAGCTAATATATTAAATTATAAGCTAATATTATAAAGAAATATATTTAATTCATAACATAAACAAAAGTTACAGAACAAATAAATGCAGAAACAAATAAAATACAAAGAAATACAAAGAAATACATAACGCAGAGGAAAATAAAAACACCATATGACGTTCGAACGCGGCACCTTACGATTACGAAGCGAACGCTCTGTCGATGACCTAATGAAACAGATACTAAAATTGTAGATATAGAAATCAGTTAACCCTAACCCTAACCTTAACCCTAACCCTAACCCGAATCCTAACCCTAACCCTAACACTAACCCTAATTCTAAAATAAAACAAAATTAGCCAAAAATAATAAGAAATAAAATAAATAAGCCCCAGTGCAAAATGCGCGATGGCGTGCGTGCGATAGTGGGCGTGTCCTAAACATTTTCTAGCCAATCACGTTGCTCAATTTTTCTTCCATAGCTATACGGTTTGGGAATCGCAAATTTGCAGCCGGGCC